AAGTGCAGGAAAAGTATTAAGAATCATAATATTTGTTTGGCCCCATCTTTGACCAATAGTATTTCACAAAACATTTGTAAACATATTAATAATAATAGTAAAAATAATTTAGACCCTTTAAAAAAAGCTGGTGTGGTTTATAGAATTGAATGTGACTGTCATAATCCGTGTGTATATATAGGAGAAACCGGGCGTGTACTAGAAACTAGAGTTAAAGAACACGAAGCGGCCATTCGGCTTAAGTATAATAATTCTCCGTGGTTTAACCACATCAATAGTAATAATTGTAATATTAATAGAAACAATGTAAAAATTTTACATATTGAAAAAGATATTTATAAAAGAAAATTCAAAGAACATATAGAAATTAGAAAACAAAATAATAATAATTTAATAAATCAGTCGAAAGGGATGGAAATAAATTATAGCTGGTACAATCTAATAGATGGCGCTAGAATAAAATAAAAAATAAATGGTTATGTATTAAGACGTCATCACTTGATTACCGTTGTAAAGTGTTGGTGGTCTACTGTGTGACTTTGTAAAGTGTTGATGGTATGAAGTTAAAAATTTGTAGTGCTTTGGAATTATTTTTACAATTGTTTGTCAATGAATTTTTAATAATTAGTTGGTTTTGGTATGTTTATTATACACGTATGTGGAAAAAATTTTTTTAAACTTGTAAGTATAAGTATTGTTTAATATATTATTTGTATTAGCCTTATATTGTTTTATACAAAAAAAGATAATTGTAATTTTAGGATTCTTACAAATGTGTACAAAGTTTACCACCCCTACCCATGGAAATATCATTGTAATTACCACCAGCGGTTATTCACTGAAGAGGGACTGGAAAATATTAGACCAGCCCGAAATGCATTTGATGTAGTCTTTACAAAATAAATTAAATTTGCCAATAAGATTGCTGTGAGATTTGTCTACGAAGAATAATTTAGGATTACAGAGACAAAAATCGTCATATTAACTAATATACAGCAAACCATTTATATATATTTTTTTTGTAATTTTTATTATAGGCATATAGACGTTACACAGCATTATTAATATGATTTTGGAGGTTACAGAACTTTAAAATTACTTTAAAAAATGGAAAATAATTATATCATTTCATTTCAAGATATTTTGTATACCTTAGAAATAATTAATTCTATCCCGGGATTTCCTGGGATCCCGGGAAACAGTTCACTTTTATTCTGGAATCCCGGGACAAGCAAAAGACCGGGAAATGAGAAACCCTAGTTAAAGATTATTTCTTTATTTTGTACAAACAAAATAAATATATTTGAAACATATAAAAACAAAAAAGATTATACTTTAGAAGTTAATTTAGTATCAAAAACATTCGATTCAGCATGATACAGTCCGACTGGAACGCTTTCGTTTAACAGACATTTCGGTTGATCAGCATTCGGATAATCAATGTTCTACTGTATCATATACCATATCCATATTTCAGTTCTAGCCTACTATATTTCTGAGAATCAATTTATAAAGTAAGATTATATCTAAACCAAAATAGTGAGCTAAAAATCTTGAAATAGACTTTTATGCCAGATTAACTTTGGTGCTGAAATTTAGTATATACATTTTATTAATTATGCAAAAATATGTGACTTTATTTACTATTGTAAATTATGAGATAATTTGAGATGTTAATACTGGTTTTTCAAATGATTAACCATTAAATAAAATGATTATTTTATATTCATGAATATTGAAAAGCCATTATGGTCGGGGAATAAGAGTTTCTTGATATACATAAAATTTAATGCACAAAAACACTTTTAAAAGTAAAATAATAAGAAATGATATATTCTTTCCATAACATTTCAATTTTTATGCAAAATATGTAATTATAAACACAAAAAATATTTCAATAGAGAAATAAAATTAAAAAAGAAAAAATTAAATAGAACAAATCTGTAATAATAGTAATTAACCCTTTGCCCTTGAAAGTACTGATCAATCGATACCCACCCATTGTTAAGCAAAACTTCGAGGGTGCTAATTAATCATTACCCTAGTAAAAATCAATTTTTATAAAATTTATCGACAGCAGATGCCAGCACTTGATGGCAGCATCTTGTCTATCATCTGTTTCACATATTTTTCTCCAAGTGGTGTTTTGTTGACTTAAAAAATTTTAATTAATGCTTTTTTTTCTTAATTTATTTTTTCTGATAATTTTTTTATTTCATTTTTAGCATATTCATGCAATAATATTACTATAATAAGTTCATTTATGCTATAATAAGTCAATGTGTTATAAATATTCAAGTTGTGACCTTCAGTTCTGATATTTTATATATTTTTTATTTTAATCTAAAATATCAGCAAATGTTACATGTATTACTACTGGTAAATCATATGTTTATTACAAAAATTTATATTCTTGTTCGATATGAAGTGAATAAAGTATATTATTAGTTCATTATATTAGATGATAGCATAATAAAGTTTTGATTTCAAACAAATGTTTGATATAATGTGCAATAATTTCACAACAAATAAATGTACTTACATGCATAAGTGTTATATAGAGTTGTACAGAACAATATTCTATGTCTTTCTGGCTCATTCATTGCCAGCAAAAAACTAGGCAACTAAACAATGTTACTTTTGACAAAAAGTTACAAATTATCAAGTTTAAATGTCAGTTCTGATATGTATATTATTTTTTTCTATAAATTTTTCTAATAAAATGTATTGAAAAATATTGTATTTAAAACTAAAGATATTAATAAATGTATGCAATTTTTTTTATATGAATATAATGATAATTTGATTTTTGGTAAGTTTTTAAAATAATATTGCCTGACTGACCTATAGTGCCTTCAGACAGTTTACAAAATTAACATAAAAAAGATGGTGGTGGTAAAGGGGTTAAAAAAAGCACACCTTTGTAGTAATCCAGTACAGTTTTTATCAGCACATTTTCAACTTAATTTATAGACTATCATTAGATTCAATCATGAAGAAATGGAATTATAAAGATTGAATAAAAAAAAGATTGAGTAAGAATTTAAAAATAGCAGTTTTATATAACATTAGTCAGTGATGCCATAGTTTCATTTAACAAAACATATAATCCACTTATACTGGATCTTATTTGAAGGAATAATGTATTTGAAGGAATGCTTCAGTTTCCTTCAAATACATTATTGTATTTGAAGGAATATTATTATTGTATTTGAAGTAATTGTATTAATGTATGCTTTTTCTTGTGGAAAAAGTATTTTACCATTCAAAAATATAAAAATTAGAAAGATAGGTTCCACAATCTCCAAAAATGATAAAATGAATAATAATAAAGTTATTTATTTATTTATTACGTTATTAAGAAGTGCCTTTAAGACAATGTTATTTATTAAAACTTAAGGATTCTTGAACATATCCAGAGTTGTTTTTCTGATACCTTTTCACATTGTAATTCTTGGTAAAAAGCAAAACAGTCTAACACAAAATTAAACCAAATTCCAGTAAAAAAGTATGCAAATTTACCAATAAACAAACATTTTCAACAGCTTTCAGCTCTCATCATCTGGTTAAGCCTCCGTGTTCAAAAATAGAACATAAGATTAAATAATGGTGAAGTACTGTCTGATTGATCATTGCTATAGTGATATAGAAAAATTAAAGCAGAACCTCAAATAAAGATTTCTAGGTCTAATGTATCTTTAAAATTATTTTACTTTTAAGCTTTATATATTTTGCTATCATTATATATTAGAAAAATGTTACAATTAATTTTAAAGATACTACTAAAATCATCAGGCATGGAAATTTTTATTTGAGCCCCCATTTTAATTTTTCTACATCACTACAGCAACAAGCAATCAGATGGTTCTTCACCATCATTTAAAGATTGACATTTAATGTTATGTTGTATTTTTAAACATTGGGACTTGACCATGATAGCTGAAAGCTGTTGAAAATGTTTGTTTATTGGTAAATATTACATATTTTCTTTTACTAAAATTTGGTTTAATTTTGTTATTTATAATTATCCATTTTTGTGATAATTGTATTATAAAACAGTCTAACATTGTCTCCCTAACCATAATGTTCCTTTTCATGTTTGGATAATCCTCTCCAAATATCACAAAGCAGGATTCAAAATAATGAAAAGTTTCTTAGGTTATTTATTTATTAGATTATTTAAGTTGGCAGCTAAGCAGAAGTAGACTGCCAATGAAAATTAATGCTGCTTCTAAGTCATCTTCATCTTCCAACTGCACAACACTTTATTAATTATTTTAAGATTAAAATTCAATCAAATTTCCTTTTTGCTGACTTCATACAGACCAGCTACTGAGGCCATCCTAATGCTATCATTAATAGCTGTGGTATGTTAACAACAACAACGATTCCATATTTATTGCATAACTGAAGCATACTGTTCATGCATTGTTATGCTATTTCATTCAATGCAGTCTTGATAACTCATAAAAAACTCATCGTATTAGTATTAAAAATCCAGTAAAAGTGAATTATATTTTTCTTTATATAATAAGTATTCTTTGAAACAGGAAGTAATTAGCAGATTTTCTCCAAAAACTTATATTAATAATAATAAGGATTACTTTCTGAATTCAAAGAAAAAACTGTAACTGATAAAAACAAAAATACTAGTTTTTAGTTAAATTATCTAACATTTCTTGAGTCTCCAACTGGCAACACTGGTCCAGTCTATCAGGTTAGTATCTTTTATTTCTCTGTCTTTCATTCTGCACTGTTCAAGCTTTGCTTAACTAAAAACCAGTCTAGTAAGTTAATTATCAATAACCTTATAAAACAAGAACAAAAATACTGAAATTGATTCTCATTAAATATGCATCTACAAGATTAAACAAAAAGAAGGCATTTTCTTTATTTCTAATAATTTCAGTAAAGAATGACAATTCTATCCTCTCTACTTAATAATTATTTTAAAAGATAACTTAAAAAATCAAAATGAACTTTAAAACAAAATTTAAAATGCTTTATGCCCTTCATTCCATGATCCCACATGGCTATGATTACTGAAATATAATGAATTCTTGTCTTTAGATATTACTTTTTAAGCCAGCCAAATGGCTGATATTGCAAAGATGTCTGTCCATCTCTCTGGGAACTTAGATCTAAGTCTATTCATCTCAGAAACCTTAAAAAGCTATCTTAATATTCCCAGAATGAAAATATAAATAAATAGGAAATGCATGAAACATTAGTAGTTTAAGTCCAATGTGCACAAACTAAAACATAACCCAAGAGATTTTTTTTAAAGTTTTGAAGAGATAGAACTGGGGGGGGGGGAAAATTAATTAAGACTCAGAAACTAATGATACTGTTATCTCTCTCTAGCTTGCCTTTGTCTCTCACAAGATTAGTGAATACAATTGAATCAAATAATATTTGAGCATTTACAACTGATTAAAGTAATGATTCTTCAAATTTAATATATTTAATTTTCAATTGAAGTTCATAAAATATATTTATATTTTTTACAAAAAAACATATAAGAAATTAATTATTAATAATTATTAGGCAAATTAAAAAATAAAATATAATTACATCATCATTGTTGAAATGAGCATGTTTTACAGTTGTAAAACAAATATTATATTCTTGAATTATTGAAGGATATAAACTGTTAAAATCCACCAGCAATATGTATTTATCATAGAACCCTGAAATTAAATAAATTTTAAATTAACTTTATTTTGAATTTATAATTTATAAACTGTGAATATAATCATTAAAATTTAAATATTTGCCTTTCTTTGGTTCAAGAACTAGACCTCCAGTATAAGCTGGCTTTCTACGAGTAGTTTTGTTTACTTTTACATTTTCATCATCCTCATCTGGTTGATTAGCCTTAAAAAGCTTTTTCAATTATTTTATTTCTAAGGATAATTTAAAAAATTCCAAAATAACCTACCTTATTGCTTTTCTTGCTAAAGCTCTTGTCTGGACAAATAAAACCTTTTTCATTAAAAGCATGTAGTAGAAGATATTCATTGCGATCTGAGCGTCCCCCCAATAATGTTTTAGACTAAAATAACATCAATATCAGCAATTAATATACATAAATTTTATAGTTAAATTATAATTATAATTTCAATTTTTTACTATATAGTTACCATTAAATTTCCTGCAATATTTGTAATTTGAAGAGCTAGTGGAAGAACATTTAAATCACACATAATTCTTAACGAAGATTCATTATTACCCATGACCCAATCAATTAACTTAAATAGATCTTCACATGAACTAAAAATAATTTAAAATTATTACAATACAAATTAAATGAAAGCAGAAGTAATTGATATTTAATGATAATGTAATTAAATTCAAAAATAAGTTTTATTTTTGAATCACACAAGATCAGGAAATTAAACAAATTTATTCACATATTTCTAATAATGCAAAAGTATTTTCTTTGGATAAATAAATTTTTATTCAAAGAAAATACTAAATCATTATACTTTTATTATTACTAACCTAAAAACTAAATATTGATGTTTACTTTAATTAAATAAATTTTATATCAAATCACATTCATCAACCAATCTCTCTTCAAATAAATAAGGAATAATTTTAATTCTAATAAAAATTTCAGAATTAGAAATTCAAATTTTTCAGAATATATTAATGAAAAATAAGTTTCTCCAAAGGCAAGTATTCATAAATGATCAAATACTGAACAATAATTCTTGAGCAGAACAAAATTTTTGAATAAAATATTTTAAAATTGCAAAATAATATTAAAAAATAAAATAAAAAAAGAAATTAATCAAATTCTTTATTGAATAAAAGTAGAAATTATCTGATCTGATTCAATATGAATTCAATCAAGATACTATATTTTAAAAAATTCTTATGTTTTTAATATTCAGCTACTATCATAAAAAGAAAGATATTAAAATTCACATTTGTTTAAAATCATAGAAATCCAGAAGACTGGAAATGAAAATTTAAAAGATATATATATTAATCAAAGTACATATAAGACATTACACAAAACCTTAACCAGCAAACTTAATTCTTTTTAATGCTGTTGTTTGTAGCCATCTTCAAGCATTGCAAATAACTGAACAATGCTTTCTATATTTTCAAATGAAATATATTGAACACATTTGTGTATATTCCATGTAAAAAATAACATTCTACATTTCTGATATTTGATTTGTTCAGTTACATGCATTCCTGAAAATGGCCAAAACAACAGACAAAAACACTAGAAAGAATAAACAGTTTGCTGGTTAAAATTCTGTGTAATTATCTTATTTGTAACAATAACACCAGTTGTGAATATTGCAAATACATTAAAGTATTTTTTATAAAATATATTAAGCTTCATCAATAATTTTTGCACATAATAGAGTAAAAATGTGATTAATGTTTTTATTTTGTGATTTATTTATTTAATAACAATTCATTTCAAAAAGTTTCAATTTTATTAATTCAACATTTTATTTTTATGTATCATTCTAAAGAAGGATTTTCAAACTGCAAAGTGTACTTCCTTAGTGATGTACAGTACAAGACTCATTCTAGGGAGGTACAAAGAAATTATGATTATTATTATTATTATTTATTTATTTATTTATTTTTGAGTACAACTACAGAATATACTCAACATTCTATCCATCTATTTCAGTACAACATAGCATTAAGACACTCACAACTTCTGTGTTTATTTAATTAACATTATTATTAATATATTAAAAGTTATCATAATGTAATGAATATATTTAAGTCATAATCACAGTCAAAATTTATTTAATTTAGCAGTAAATATCTGTGTATTATTCTATTTTTGTGTTGTTTGAAAATCTATTTGTGCACTATAAAAAAACTGTATGAAAATCTTAGTTTTATTAGAGTAAGATACATCCTAAGAAAACTTTAGATCAGTATGCTTTTACAAAGTTATAAAATTACAAGAATGTTTTTTACAAAATAGAAGGAAACATCTTTAAAATATTTGTCAGTATGCTTTTAAAGCATATATTATATCTTTTAAAATAAATGAACTACAGTAGAGTGTTGTTTATCTGAAACGTCAGTTATCCCAAAGAATTCCAGTCGGCAAATTTAAATTTTTGCTAGTGCTGTGGCGCTGCAATCTTTGGTTATATCTTGGGCTACTCCAATATTTTTTTATTGATGTGTGTGTTTTAGCTAGCAGCACTGGCACTTTTGTGGGTGGTGTTTTTCTGAGGACTGTGTGTCATGCTGAATCGAACATTTTTGATACTAGTTTAACTTCTAAAATATAATTTTTTTTGTTTTTATATTTTTCAATATATTTATTTTGTTTGTAAAAAATAGAAATAATTTTTAACAATACAATAGCCATGATTATTATTTTAAAAAGTTTACATTAGGCTTAACATCGATGAAAATTCAATGTGAAGTGACACGCAACAGAGGAAAATTTCAACATGGGATAAGTTAATATATTTTTTTGTACATAATCAGTTATCCGAAAAATAAGTCATCTGAACAACCCCAGCCCCCAATTGATTCAGATAAACAATGCTCTACTGTATATACTACATATTTGTTAAAAAGTAGCGATTGACCAAAGTAGAAATTATCTGATCTGATTCAATATGAATTCAATCAAGATACTATATTTTTAAAAATTCTTACGTTTTTAATATTCAGCTACTATCATAAAAAGAAAGATATTAAAATTCACATTTGTTTAAAATCATAGAAATCCAATTTTCTTAATCCTGATTAAATGCTATGAGATCATCTACTTTTATAGTGGTGCACTTTTTTATAACAGCAATGAACATACATATTTTTTTCTGAAAAATTATTTTAAAACGTACAAATAATTTTTGCATGCAAAGGAACCTGAATTTTTAAAAAGTAGTAACTTTTGCAAATTTTTACTTCTTTTTTCAATATATTTTTCTTTTCAAAAACACAACCATATTTGATTTTTTCAAAGAATATTAAATAACAAATATTAATATATCTATATTAATATAGATAATAGTGTCTGCTGGGGAGCCAAACAGTTTGGCACTCATTTCCATTGCTTAAGGAAGTATTGAGTAAGTCTAATTAGCAATGTATGCAAGAATATTAAAAACTTGAAATATGGGCAAAATGAGCCATATATTGATACAAGATGTATTTAACCATTCCTATAATAGTGAAAATATTGAATATTGGTTCAAAAAACCAATAATTGGATATCTAATTATTAGTTGCATAATATTTGGCATTCCAATACAAATCCAATAATCAGTCAATCACTAGTTAAAAACAAACAAAATAGATCAATTTTCAGTTTAAAAACAGCTATTCTAATTTTAAGTTTTTTAACCTTCTGAAAACTGAACGAATCACCTGAAAGTATTTGAGAATTTTCTTTCTATCTATTTAAATTTAATTCAAAATAACATTTTTATATAAGGGATATTTTTATATTGCAAATAGTTTTACAATATAAAAATAATTTAATTATTAAATAAAATAATTTTTTATTTGCAGAGATAAATAGTTTTGTATCATTAAAATAAACAATTAGGACATGATAAACTATTGACTAGACCAGGCATGGCCAACATATGGCCCGTTTAATCAATTTATGTGGCCCGCGATCAATCTTTCAATATTAGCTACTGAAGTCCAAATAGCTCAATGAGAAATTCTTAAAAAAAAAAAAAAAGTCAACAACTCACTGCGCGTTCAGAGTTAACCTTCCATTACAAATCTCATAAGTACAGCGTAGAGTGTTGATAAAGCATGATAATGTGAAAAATGTATCTGTAATCTCTAATCTGACACCACAATGAGATCTCGCACCACCTCAAAATCTTCCTAGGGCAGCCTCTGGTTCGGCCTGTGGAAAAAGTTTGCTTTCCAATTAGGCCCGGAGACAAAAACTGTTGGCCACCCCTGGACTAGACTTTCAAAAATTTTTACATTAAAAAATTTCAAACAAAAATCTACTTCTAAAACTGAATTATTGGAATATTTCCTTAGAGGAAAAATGAATTAAATCATTTGAATAATTTTATTTGCATTTTTTTTAATTATCTTGTTTATATTTTAGTTTACTGTAAAAAGTCCTTTTATTTTGTAATTCATTGATTACAATCATTAAAAAGTTTATTCTAAAATATATAGAAAAAATAAAACAATTAAAATTAAAATTAATTTGATGAAAAACTTAAAATTTTATATATTAATATTCTTAAAAATATAAAAAAAATCAATATAATAATCAAATAACTAAACTAATTAATTTGTCAGTCACATGTAACCAATATGTATTAATTGAATATTTTAAGGATAATAATATAAACATTATTCTTACTTGTATGTTTTAAAAATGTCATCTGATGACAATTCTATTCTATCTTTATCTAGAACTTGCTTCACTAATTCAGTTAAATCGTAACTCTTACAACGAAGAAGTTCTTTGGCTGATAATTTTACATCACAAAACAAACGACCACATAAAGCATTCTTTTCTCCTATAATTGATTTGTTCTGTTTAAACTGAAATTTAAAAAATTATATTATCAACATAATATAATTTTTAACTGAAAGTTATAACATTTTTCAGTGAAATTCCAGTTCTATAACTGCATAATTATTTTCTTAATCATAATTCATTTTATATGGTATATCTTAAAACCTTTTTTGAGGAGTCCAATTTTTTTCTTTTGAATTAACTACTTTTGAAAAAGTAAGTTTTCTCATCTTTAAAATCAAACACACACAAAAATAGTAAGTTGTAATTTTAACAATATTTTTAAGATTGACTGTAAATACATAAATTCAATATTTTAAATCATCCACTTGAAAATATTTAATATGCTAAACAAAATAAATTGAAAAACATTTAAAAGACTAGTGATAATTGAGAATTAAAGATTGAAAAAAGCATTTTTTTCAGCAATTTTTATTTATATATAAATTATAAGATATCTGTGATTATTAGTGAAGTAACGAATATTCAGTTACTATTCCGTATTCGGCCAAATATTTAATCACTATTCGGCCGAATACCGAATACCTAAAAACAGGAGTAAGAAATAATAAAAACAGTAAATTAATCATTTTGGTATTTAGATTTAATGTTATCGGGTTAGTGTTGTTTGTTTATATTTATTTACAGCTTATAACATGCACAAAATAAAAAAGAACATGATATTAGTCACTTGTATTCACAATTTATAATTACAAAGATCAGCATACGTACACATCTATTCATTCGAGAATCGTTACACATCTGAGGGTCTGACCCTGCCTATCCTTCTTTTTAAGCGCTCGTCTTTGCTCTTCCCTTTCTCTTACCTCTATCGCTCTAGTTTCGTATGCCTATGCATACATCATTATACGAGCTCACGATACTTTCAATTTGTCACTTTTCCATCTTAGATTTCCCATTTTACAATTATGTTACTCATAGCCTGGTGATAAAGGAGAAAAGAGACAGATATGACGTCAAATTAAGTCACAGTTATGATTTCACAGATTCGAAACAGCTTGGTAGCCCGAACGGTCCCAAGCTTTCGCCCGTGCATGCTAAGTGACTTTCATTACAAGCATTTAGCTTTCCGAAGTCTATGACAACAACTATTTGGCATTGACAGCCACGAATTTCGCGCCAATAAGCTGCCTCGACTTGTTCGATTATGTTATCAACTGAATTTCATATTTATTTTCACATTTTCACGGTCCTTCTCTGTTCTTTTTCCGTTATTTACACGTGAAGGACCGTAAAAATGTGAAAATAAATATGAAATTCAATTGATAACATATTCAAACAAGTCGAGGCAGCTTATTGTTATCCACATTTGATATCATCATTTATCACGTACTGCCATGACGCTCTTGTCTGTCTGCTACAACTATCAAGAATTAACACGATTGGCGAAACGTAGTGACAGCGGGCCAATAGAGAGCAGGGTCCTTGTCATAATGTGGTTTGCGCGCCAATTTTCGTACGTGCGTTAATCAAGCTGAATAGTTTGGTCAAATATTCGGCTATTCAGCCACGCTCCTAGCTGAATATTCAGTATTTGGCCTGAGGCCGAATATACTATTCGTTGCAACACTAGTGATTATGTTTAAATAATACAATCATTACATATCTTCATTTTGTTTAAAATACCAAACTCACATGTAGGTAATTTAAAATGCTGGTTTTATGTTAGTTACTTAAAGTCAGTCTTAGAAACTATTTATTTATTGTTATCTGACATTCTTATTTTCATTTTTATGTAAGATACTTGATTCTTAAAATTAAAATATTTATTTGTTGAAGGTAGTTAATTAAAGAAAAACTTAAACTCCTTAAAAAAGTCTAAACGTTTTAAGATTTTTCGACAATCTAAAAAAATCCTAAATTTTAAATATTTAATACTTTAACTTCTTTTCTTAAATAAGTTAATTTTTATAATATTATAAATATATTTTTAAAACTGAACAGTCCACTCTCTTNCAAATAGTTTTACAATATAAAAATAATTTAATTATTAAATAAAATAATTTTTTATTTGCAGAGATAAATAGTTTTGTATCATTAAAATAAACAATTAGGACATGATAAACTATTGACTAGACCAGGCATGGCCAACATATGGCCCGTTTAATCAATTTATGTGGCCCGCGATCAATCTTTCAATATTAGCTACTGAAGTCCAAATAGCTCAATGAGAAATTCTTAAAAAAAAAAAAAAAGTCAACAACTCACTGCGCGTTCAGAGTTAACCTTCCATTACAAATCTCATAAGTACAGCGTAGAGTGTTGATAAAGCATGATAATGTGAAAAATGTATCTGTAATCTCTAATCTGACACCACAATGAGATCTCGCACCACCTCAAAATCTTCCTAGGGCAGCCTCTGGTTCGGCCTGTGGAAAAAGTTTGCTTTCCAATTAGGCCCGGAGACAAAAACTGTTGGCCACCCCTGGACTAGACTTTCAAAAATTTTTACATTAAAAAATTTCAAACAAAAATCTACTTCTAAAACTGAATTATTGGAATATTTCCTTAGAGGAAAAATGAATTAAATCATTTGAATAATTTTATTTGCATTTTTTTTAATTATCTTGTTTATATTTTAGTTTACTGTAAAAAGTCCTTTTATTTTGTAATTCATTGATTACAATCATTAAAAAGTTTATTCTAAAATATATAGAAAAAATAAAACAATTAAAATTAAAATTAATTTGATGAAAAACTTAAAATTTTATATATTAATATTCTTAAAAATATAAAAAAAATCAATATAATAATCAAATAACTAAACTAATTAATTTGTCAGTCACATGTAACCAATATGTATTAATTGAATATTTTAAGGATAATAATATAAACATTATTCTTACTTGTATGTTTTAAAAATGTCATCTGATGACAATTCTATTCTATCTTTATCTAGAACTTGCTTCACTAATTCAGTTAAATCGTAACTCTTACAACGAAGAAGTTCTTTGGCTGATAATTTTACATCACAAAACAAACGACCACATAAAGCATTCTTTTCTCCTATAATTGATTTGTTCTGTTTAAACTGAAATTTAAAAAATTATATTATCAACATAATATAATTTTTAACTGAAAGTTATAACATTTTTCAGTGAAATTCCAGTTCTATAACTGCATAATTATTTTCTTAATCATAATTCATTTTATATGGTATATCTTAAAACCTTTTTTGAGGAGTCCAATTTTTTTCTTTTGAATTAACTACTTTTGAAAAAGTAAGTTTTCTCATCTTTAAAATCAAACACACACAAAAATAGTAAGTTGTAATTTTAACAATATTTTTAAGATTGACTGTAAATACATAAATTCAATATTTTAAATCATCCACTTGAAAATATTTAATATGCTAAACAAAATAAATTGAAAAACATTTAAAAGACTAGTGATAATTGAGAATTAAAGATTGAAAAAAGCATTTTTTTCAGCAATTTTTATTTATATATAAATTATAAGATATCTGTGATTATTAGTGAAGTAACGAATATTCAGTTACTATTCCGTATTCGGCCAAATATTTAATCACTATTCGGCCGAATACCGAATACCTAAAAACAGGAGTAAGAAATAATAAAAACAGTAAATTAATCATTTTGGTATTTAGANTTTTTAACTGAAAGTTATAACATTTTTCAGTGAAATTCCAGTTCTATAACTGCATAATTATTTTCTTAATCATAATTCATTTTATATGGTATATCTTAAAACCTTTTTTGAGGAGTCCAATTTTTTTCTTTTGAATTAACTACTTTTGAAAAAGTAAGTTTTCTCATCTTTAAAATCAAACACACACAAAAATAGTAAGTTGTAATTTTAACAATATTTTTAAGATTGACTGTAAATACATAAATTCAATATTTTAAATCATCCACTTGAAAATATTTAATATGCTAAACAAAATAAATTGAAAAACATTTAAAAGACTAGTGATAATTGAGAATTAAAGATTGAAAAAAGCATTTTTTTCAGCAATTTTTATTTATATATAAATTATAAGATATCTGTGATTATTAGTGAAGTAACGAATATTCAGTTACTATTCCGTATTCGGCCAAATATTTAATCACTATTCGGCCGAATACCGAATACCTAAAAACAGGAGTAAGAAATAATAAAAACAGTAAATTAATCATTTTGGTATTTAGATTTAATGTTATCGGGTTAGTGTTGTTTGTTTATATTTATTTACAGCTTATAACATGCACAAAATAAAAAAGAACATGATATTAGTCACTTGTATTCACAATTTATAATTACAAAGATCAGCATACGTACACATCTATTCATTCGAGAATCGTTACACATCTGAGGGTCTGACCCTGCCTATCCTTCTTTTTAAGCGCTCGTCTTTGCTCTTCCCTTTCTCTTACCTCTATCGCTCTAGTTTCGTATGCCTATGCATACATCATTATACGAGCTCACGATACTTTCAATTTGTCACTTTTCCATCTTAGATTTCCCATTTTACAATTATGTTACTCATAGCCTGGTGATAAAGGAGAAAAGAGACAGATATGACGTCAAATTAAGTCACAGTTATGATTTCACAGATTCGAAACAGCTTGGTAGCCCGAACGGTCCCAAGCTTTCGCCCGTGCATGCTAAGTGACTTTCATTACAAGCATTTAGCTTTCCGAAGTCTATGACAACAACTATTTGGCATTGACAGCCACGAATTTCGCGCCAATAAGCTGCCTCGACTTGTTCAATTATGTTATCAACTGAATTTCATATTTATTTTCACATTTTCACGGTCCTTCTCTGTTCTTTTTCCGTTATTTACACGTGAAGGACCGTAAAAATGTGAAAATAAATATGAAATTCAATTGATAACATATTCAAACAAGTCGAGGCAGCTTATTGTTATCCACATTTGATATCATCATTTATCACGTACTGCCATGACGCTCTTGTCTGTCTGCTACAACTATCAAGAATTAACACGATTGGCGAAACGTAGTGACAGCGGGCCAATAGAGAGCAGGGTCCTTGTCATAATGTGGTTTGCGCGCCAATTTTCGTACGTGCGTTAATCAAGCTGAATAGTTTGGTCAAATATTCGGCTATTCAGCCACGCTCCTAGCTGAATATTCAGTATTTGGCCTGAGGCCGAATATACTATTCGTTGCAACACTAGTGATTATGTTTAAATAATACAATCATTACATATCTTCATTTTGTTTAAAATACCAAACTCACATGTAGGTAATTTAAAATGCTGGTTTTATGTTAGTTACTTAAAGTCAGTCTTAGAAACTATTTATTTATTGTTATCTGGCATTCTTATTTTCATTTTTATGTAAGATACTTGATTCTTAAAATTAAAATATTTATTTGTTGAAGGTAGTTAATTAAAGAAAAACTTAAACTCCTTAAAAAAGTCTAAACGTTTTAAGATTTTTCGACAATCTAAAAAAATCCTAAATTTTAAATATTTAATACTTTAACTTCTTTTCTTAAATAAGTTAATTTTTATAATATTATAAATATATTTTTAAAACTGAACAGTCCACTCTCAAAGAAGCATTTTAAAATTCTAATAGTGTTTACAATTATATACAGTCAAAATTCTATATAACAAAGTTGCAAAATCCTGAAAAAAATTTGTTATACAGAAATTAAACATTTTGGTGTATAAGTAGAATTTTAACATATTTATTCGTTATTTTACTTAATTTACATTAATATAAACATAATATACAATAATAATATAATATAAACATAGTTTTAACTTTAAGTAAATTTACATTTGTGTATTAAAATAAATACAAGTTAGTTTAACTACATTTTTGTAAAACAACTTGTAATTTTTTGTTACACAGAACGATTAAAAAATGTTCTCTCTTTGTATATATTTTGCACTTATTAAGAGCACTAAAACTACTACATCTACATCAACATAAATTGCAGACTCTAGCAAATTTTCCTGTAGGTCTCACATCAACAGCTAATTTCAAAATTGCTCGCAATTTGTTATTATGGTTGATAAACTACTTACAGAATTCCAAACTTTGCTACAATGTCTTTCTTTTCTGAGTTTTTATCAATTTTGCCACAACACATTAATTTTTTTTAATAATGCTTAAACATTATATTAACAGTTCTTCAAATTCCAACTGGATGACTTATTAAATAAAATAAAAATCTCACTAACCTCAAAAATTAGTCCAGTAGTTGTCAGAATTATCATCTTTCTAACGTTTTTGACATTCATTAATTGTAAATCATTTATCTGTCAATGATGGAATTTGAAGTAATCTCCCCCCCTTCTTTACAATCGGTAACCACATGGGGGGGCAGATTACATGATGTTTTAAAAGCTAATGACCAGTATTTCTCACATCTGGGCCACAGTTTTACAAAGAGTTTACAGATTGATACCTAAAATTGAACTCAACTTAGATGGAGTAATTGCCTTTTAATGATAGATGGTCCTTACAAATGAAAAAAAATTTGTTATACAAAAATCTAACTTCATTATTTAGAAGCAATTTTACACATATATTTTTAATTGAAAGAGAACGGTACAATGCAAAAATTTGTTATACAGAAAAATTCACTATACAGAAGTTCATAATATGAAAGTTTGACTGTATATTATAGACACTACTGCCTTTATTTCCTGGACATTGAATAAAACAAAAACAGTTGAATTGAATAATCTATAATTATTAAAAATAACTGCTCATTTGGTTAGTTCAATTAAATCAAAACCTTTAGAAATGTATAAATAAACCAAGTAATAAACAGAAATAGAGATGCTCTTCTTATTTTGGAAACATTTAATATACAAATGTGATCATAATCAGCAATATTTATGTTAAATTTTCAAAACTTTTGAATCATTCCTCATTTTTCTAAAATTGCTATTGTATATAAACATTTTATAAATATTTTCTATATTTTACTACCCTGTATGCATATATTTCTATTCATGAAATACAAATATTTCGAAATTTGTAACTCTTTTTATGAAACTTATGAAATTTTAATGTGTTACATTTTATTAAATTACATTTGCTTTGTTTTAAATATGAAGATTTGTTAAAAAATAAAAAAAATATTTGTTTATTACAATAATATTTAGTTTTTAAAAATAGTATACAGATAGTCATTCACTTTCAAATATAATACATTCCTAAAAATGTGTACAAATGTCAAATGCCTGAAAAAAAAACAAGATTGCACATCATAAAGGTGTTGTTTCCAGAGAGTCAAATTAAAAATTATAAAATCTTTTATTAAAGTAAAAAGTTTTAATTTTTACAGTAAATATGTTACATCTGGTAATGCTATGCAGAGCCAGGCAGCACTATGCCAATAAATAAGAGAGAAAGAGAGAAATTACAATGCATAAAACACAATTTAATATGTTAATATAGATTAAATAGAAAATAAAATTATTGTTCAAAAATATTTTTGTTGTTGTTAGCAAAATAAAATTTAATATTCTGCAGATAAATGATTTTTAATAATAAGTATGTATTGCCAATTCCATTTCTTATTTAGTATTGATGCCCCCCCTTAAGTTTATGAAATTATACACACACACACACATATATATATAGCAGACTTGCTAATCTAACCATTCTGTGCACAGGGGTGCTGAATTACTAATTGTGTACAGGCCTAAAACTTGTCTTAAGGCAACGAATGCTGTTGTCTGTTATCCTTTGGTACTGTTTCTTTTTTGGAGGTAGGAAGGCAAATAATACAGTGCAGTGATATGCAATATTGTACACAGAAATGAAACTGGGTGAAGAGGAATATAAAATGTGTGATATGACTAACATTTTCATAAAAACAGAAGTGCATAGACAATCACTGGTAGGTATGCTGGATAATTGAGAGGCTGAATCAGTGAGAGTCTACTGCATAAAAAAAGGATAATGATTGAATTCCATAATATGAAATGTCCAGAGTATAAAAGTTGCTTAAATTATTTGCTTTTTTCAATGAGAAATGTTCTCTATGTTTACATGGTTTAAAAATGATAAAATATTTGAGAAACTATTAATATTAGTTTATGAGTCTTTTTCACAAGAAACTGTAAAATGATAATGCCTTTACAGTGGAACCTCACTTAACGAGCATAACTTGTTCCAGAATCTTACTCGTAATGCAAAATACTCATTAAGTAAAACAATTTTTTCCCATTTAAATTAATGTAAAATATGATAATGCACTCCATGCCAAAAAAAAAACTCAAATATTTTATGTATAATGTTTATTCAAAGAAAATTATACAATATACATCGTATGAATGAAAATATACATCATATTTTCTTCTAGCACAAAATTAACCAACCTGAAATACCAATTCGATTTGCAGAAAACAAAAACCTCAAAAAAATCTCTCTCACAAACAGCCAAATGATTTGCCAAATTTTTGGTCTATGTAAAGGCTATATTTAAATATTTGAAATTAATTAATTTGACTAGAGGTAGGCAGTTATGTTTCCATCTCATATTAAATTTAATAATTATAAATAATTCAGTTTTAATTTACACATTTTTAAAATTTAATTTGGAATTGGTCATTAAATTTGTGGCAGCAACTGCCTATCTCTAGTCAAATTAATCAATTTTTAATATTTAATTATAGCCTTTACATAGCCCAAGAATTTGGCATATCATTTGGCATGTTTATTATATAACAGGCTACAGTTGTTGATGTTTATATGTAATATGCCTGAACACAAGTTTGAAAAAATGTGTGATCACAAGTGACACTGAGATGCTAGAGGAACGAGTGCTAAACACAGACTGATGTAGCATGCACACAATCTGAGACTTCCCTCTCCTCGTCATGCAAAATGTCGCTTGTTAAGTGAGTAATTTTTTTACAATTTGTTTTGTTCATTATGCAAAATACTCATTATGAGAGGTGCTCATTAAGTGAGGTTCCACTGTATCTGTTTTAAAAAGAAGTATTATATTATTGAATATTTTTAAATTCAACAGACTGATATCAAAATATAAAGTCGAAAAAATAAGGACCACTAAAATTAATAGAACTATTTCTGTGCTTAATCTTTGAATCTTTTATTGTTATTTTTAAGATGAATCATAAAAAACAATTTTCGCACTGAAATAAAAGAAGTTGACTAGAATAATTTAAAGTAATACAAATATTTCATTAACTAAATAAGTTATTTATTAATACTTTAATAAGATTTTTAATTATGATTAAAAGTTTAATTAGACATTATAAAAGTTTATCAAAATAAAAAAAATATTAAAAATTTATTTAAAAATCATAACATCAAGTATCAGCATGATCAAGATTAAATTATGTTACTGAAATATTCATACATTATATTTATTATATGACATAAAATATATATAACAAGTAAAACGGCAAAACCTTATTTGGGACAAGACTATGTCTCGAAGACGGAATCACTTTGATGCTCAAGGCAGGTCTCATTCTCATTCTCCTACTTTCTTTGATATCACTGTTTTTGGGCGCGATCGTTCAAACTTTGCCAGCCATGATCACAAGATCGTCCACGATGCAGCTTCGATGAAATTAACCTATCTAATTTCAGAATTTCTCTCCATTGCGTGTCGGCCTGGGTTGAATTTTTGTCTTTGTGTAACAAAAAGTTCCCGTTTTTGAAAAAAATAATCGTGGCTATTGTATCATCCAAAATTTTTTATTTTGCACAAACAATATACAGTTTAACCCAATTATAATGTCATCGAATGTAACGACAATCCTAATATAATGTCAAATTTTTATCGGTCCTATGATTTTACTATACTAGATAACATTAAAAAAAATACCCACTTATAATGACATAAAACTGTTTTAATGTCACATTTGAAGCACTCCCAAATTTACACAATTAGATTACAAATTTTATTTAACATAGAAGAAACTACGTGTTCAGTCCTAAGGTCAGAGTTCACTTCTTAGAATGACTGTGGGTGGTACTCTCTCCTACCTGACTTTGGTGGGGTGAGGTGGCTGTTTTGCCTGTTTGTAGAAGAGGGTTGCCATTTTGTATTTTATTTTGACTCAATTCTCTGTTCCCTGAATACCTACCAGTCTGGATTTTTTTATGTGCAAATGATTTGGGCACCTAATACTCTGTGCCAAATGTCAACTCTTGACATGTACTCCTTCATACATCTATGCTGGTAAGAACATCGGGCAGTACGATTTTATAAACAAGACAGTCTTGTCAACAAATTAAACATTTCATATAAAACTAAATAAAACTTGATTTAAAATTAAATATGTTATCATAATAAAAAAATATATGCATTTTTTATAACAATAAATGCATAAAGAAAAAAATAATTTACCCATTGATTAGGCATTCCTGTTCGTTTTAATCTTCCGAAACGTGACCAATGAGGAATTTTATTAACTGTAATCCGATGCATAAGAACATCAATATCAAAGCCAAGAATATCATGACCCTAAATAATTTTAAGAATATTATTTTATATATTTAATGGCTGCAGAAATTCTTTAAATTATTTTAATCATTTTACTCATAATATTTTATTTCAGTAAAAAAATTTATAAATATTTTATTTAGGAACATTTTCAGCTCTCATTCATCAACAATAATATATATTACAAGCTTTTACAATGTTTAATGGAACAAAGCTAAAAAGAACAAAGTTTTCAAATTTGAAAAAACAAATGTATCACATGACATTAATTTTTTCTCAAAATATCACATGTTAGATTGCCTGAAATTAAGTATTCACTAATCACTAACTGCTTATGCTAGCAATTTATTTACTGACAATGCCTATGCAGTCTAAAACAGGATTCCAAGTTTCTTAAGTGCCACGATATCATTTACTGTTCAACAGAAAGTCAACAAATGTAAATTTGTTCAAGAATCTTAATTAGATATTCTTCTTGACATTCCTTTAAAAAAACATGGTTATCCCAGATTACTTTAACTTTCCAATCACATGCTCAAGTGGCTGATACAGACTTGATAAAAACTGAAAATGGTTCAAATAAAATATAAATACATTATTTGAGAAGTTTCAGTTTTCTTAATAAGCAGTATTAAAAATATTTTGAATAATGGTGTCAAGTTTCACAGACTATAAAAAACATTTATTTTTATTTAAGAAACTGAAATCATATGATTCCCTAATGACCCTAATGATAAACCAAATAAATTTAGTAATCAATAGGATGACTAACACGCCAAATTAATATATAATAACAAAAACAAAGACACTGAGTTCAGCGTTACATGCGTTTTTTATCGCTAGTACTTTCAACGAACTTATTGTCGTCGTCCTCAGGCGAATACAGATATTTACCAAAAAATTTTTAAACAAAAATAATCGAATGCAGAATATAACGCATAAGATAAGCTAAAATTATGTTAAAGCCGTTAAGAACACAAAGTAAATATTTAAACATAATTCGAAAACCGAACGAGCAGATAGCTCCGTGAAGTGCGAGCTGGCGCATGCGCGGAGCCATGCTCACGCTACATGCGTAATAGAGACTGCTAATACTCGCTTAAATGCTTATACAGCGTGACCCATACACTAGGCAGCTTGAGCGTAGGGGTGTTGCAAGTGTCCAAGGTGGTAGTGAGGAGAGATTCCCATATAAAAACAGTTTTTTGATCCTTGCAGCTCTTGAGCATAACCATTTGGGACCATAGCGAGTTGTAACCCTGCTCAAGTATCTTCCTTGCGAGCTCGGTGGTGTGTCTTCCCCTCCTAACATCGTCTTGGTGCTCATCAAGACGGCTGGAAAGCATTCTAGTGGTGGCCCCGATATATCTTGTGTTTACTCCCGTTGCCTGATTTTCCAAAGGTACAGCATAGACCCCCAATTTCTCAAGGGTGGAAAATTTGTCTCTATCATTACAAATAAGTTTGCATAGGCTTGGAAGTGGGGTTAAAGGTAGTACAAGGTTGCGCTGCTTAAAGATTCTGCAGATGCGTAAAGATAGGGGTCCAAGGTAAGGCAACGCTATTTTTACCTTTGAAGACTCTCTCTTGCTGCATAAAGTAGTAGTTGGAAACAGTGCTTTCTTTACCTTATTGAGCATATGCGTAAACTTTGCATGTGAAAAGCCAGCAGCGCGTACTGCCAAACTGATGATATCTAACTCGACGTTTATCAGCTCCTGTGTAGATGACAGTAAATAAGCCCTTCTGACAAGGGAGGCAATGGCAGTATTAATGTATCTAGAAGGCTGAAAGGCCTCTGTCGGTATAATGTGCGGAGCTATACTAGATTTGTGATGGACCGAGAATTGTAGTCCTTCCGAAAATTTACGTATACGCAAGTCTAAGACTGCTACTTCCGCATCGCTTTCTTTCTCCCAAGTAAAATTGATGGAAGGATATATACTTGCGAGTTGTTGCATAAAGATGAGGAACGACTCCTCTGTGTCTTCCCACGCTATGAGGATGTCGTCAACATAACGCAAATACAGCCTCGGGTAATGGATGGCAAGTGGGGAATTGAACGTTCTGTGCTCAATCTCTCTCATAACAAGTTCCGCTAGGATAACAGATAAAGGGGAACCCATGGGGACCCCTTGTTTTTGTAAAAAGATCTTTTGGTTGAAACGGAAGTAATTGTGCTCGGTGATGAAGGTGAGGGCATCACGTATATCGAGCACCTGTTGGATGTTAAAGCCCTCTTTTAGAAGCAGCGAATTAGCCAGCATTACAGCCTCAAAGGTGGGCACTGAAGGATATAAAGATATTACATCTAGCTTGTAGAAAGTATAGGTGTCTGGCTGTAGAGCCCCAATACTCAAAGAGATGGTGGATTTAGCAGCTACAGAAGAGGGAGTAACATATGGGGATCCCAGAACTATTGCGCGTAGGAATTTGGCAAGCACTTTTTCTAAATAGTAGGTGGGATGAGACCACTTGTTTACCAGCGGACGTAACGGCCAGTTTGTGTTATGCGTTTTTGGCTGAAAGAACAACCTTGGACACGCAACATTGGAGGGGGGATTGAGCAACCCAGTTAGGGTTGAGGAAACACCCGGTAAGACGATAATTCTTCTTGCCTTCCTTAATACCATCGGCATAGGGTCCTCACTCATCTCCGAGGAATGTGACTGCATTAGAAATTCGTTGGCCCTGGTTAAAAAGTCATTCTCTCTGCACAGCACAAACCTCCAGTCCTTGTCTATTACGCATGTAGCGTGAGCATGGCTCCGCGCATGCGCCAGCTCGCACTTCACGGAGCTATCTGCTCGTTCGGTTTTCGAATTATGTTTAAATATTTACTTTGTGTTCTTAACGGCTTTAACATAATTTTAGCTTATCTTATGCGTTATATTCTGCATTCGATTATTTTTGTTTAAAAATTTTTTGGTAAATATCTGTATTTGCCTGAGGACGACGACAATAAGTTCGTTGAAAGTACTAGCGATAAAAAACGCATGTAACGCTGAACTCAGTGTCTTTGTTTTTGTTATTATAAATAAATTTAAAAATAAAAAAACATTTTAGAAGTCATAATACACTTTACTGAGAAACTTTCACAATGAAGTAATCATTTTCAGAATATTTTTCATTTTGTTCTCAAACACCTTATTTAAAAATATAAAGACTGAGAATTCAAACAACAAATATTCATATAATTGTAGTTATTTTAACTGTAAATAACAAATATAATACAATTTTTCACTATTTTTGTTTTGTGATTTTTTGATTATAATTTTCTGTTTGTTGCTACCTCTTTACTGTTATTTTTATGCTTTTTTTATGAGATATATTAAATGTTTTTGTTGAGAGCAGTACAGTAATCTCATGCTGTATAGCCTTACTTATTAAATGTGCAAATAAATAAGTAAATATTCAATTATAATTAATTTAAAAAATTTAAACCCTTTAAGCTCCAATTCTTGTTTAATTTTGCACTCATACATATAATCATATCAAAATTCTTTATCAATGTCAAATGTAAAAACACAAAAAAAATAAATTGTAAAAACAAAATGACAGTATTAGACAACAGTATAATTCATAATTATATTTAGTAATAACAAAAAATAATATATTTTTACATTTAAAATTATTATTGTATTAAAATATTTTTATTAATATTTCATACTGAAAATTCTAACATTACTAAGTCACATTTAAGAGAATGCTTAGCCTGAAATTTAAATGTTCAACAATTTTCAATTGTTTTCTTTTGTGTTAATGAATTTGAATTGTTTATTATTAATATATTTTCCAATATTAAACCAAAAATACCATCTACAAATATTTTAAAATGAAATATAAAACTATATAGACACAGCATAGTACAAAAAACAAATTTATAATTTAATAAAATCCACATTCTTACCACTATAACATCAGGATCCATCTTACAAATTTTAGCTAAAAGCAATCCAAGTAATGCTCTTTCAGAATCTGCTAAATCTACTTTTGTGTTCTTATAATTAGGCAATAATTTCTGAAAACCATAAGGAAACACACAAGTGCTTGGTTTTGAAAATACTAAAAGAAAATATGAAAAACTGTATTAAATATTAATAAAATTACAGTTAAATATACATTATTCTAAATGTTTTTGGTTTTAAAGTTTTGAATATTATTAATTAGCATGATTAAATCTTTTATCTCTTTTTGTTTTCTTACATACAAACATTTATAAAATTCTATTACTTTAATTCTAATTTAAAAAAAAAAATTCAAAATAAAATAACTTGTTTCTATTTAAAAATCAAATATTAAATGATTTGTGTTTTCGAAACATTATAAAAATATCTTCAGATACATATAAATTCAGTTAAATAAAGAATATTCTTATAAATGTCTACAGAATTAAAACAACAATATTCAAATCACTATCTAATATACTTATAAATTTTAACACTAAGATATACTTAAAAATATACATACAGAACATATGAACCCTGATACTTAATAATACATAAAAATTTTAATACTTCTTTGATACTAAAAATGAATTTTCGAAATAAATTAAACAAAGAAATATAAAATCATTTAAGCGTGTGACTAAAAATACAGTGGTACCTCAGGATACGAAATTAATCCGTTCCGAAACTGAGATCGTATCATGAAAATGTCGTAAGGTGAATCAACTTTTCCCATACGATTACATGTTAAACCAAATAATTCGTTCCAACGCGAAAAACATACTCAAATTAAAGCCAAGTAATACATTAAAAAAAATAACTGTAGTAAGGAAAACAAATGAAAAATGCGAACTAATGTAACGT